TCTGTTACCAAAGAACTAAATGTATATTTTTACAAACCCCAACAAAAACCATAATAACCTTGAAATGAAGCAACTTAACAGAAAAAAGAAAATAATTCACATTCTAAGGAGTTACTAAAAAATATTGATGGATGAAAAAAAAACAGGATAAGGCCTAGAAAAATCCAGAAATTAAAACTCGATGCTGGGAAAATGGTGGGTTGCCTACGCTATCTTAAAAGCCCTTCAAATATGTCACAGTGCAGATTCCCAAGTCTACCTGCAGCGGCCAGTGATGCAACGGAGCAGATGTCCCAGGTCTTTCTGTGAGATTGTTCATCCTGTTTTTCTAAACAGATGAAAACCCTTTCTGCAGTGCTTCCTCTTCCCCTCACTTCCACCCCACCCCGGCAATGTATGCTAAAGCAAATGGGAAACAGAGCAGGGTCGAGCAGGGCCAGCTTGTCTCTGCTCCTCTTGGCATCAGCAGCGGCAGCTGGAAGGAGGGCTGGCGGCAGGACTCACCTGAGGGCTGCTCACACACGTCCACTCAGTGGCTGCCCCCGCTCCTCCGCCCGAGGGTCTGCTTGGCTCCCTCCCCGCCAGGTGGCCAGCTTCCAGGGGCCATCCTCCAAGAGAGAGCAGGGGGATGCTCTTTGTGACATATTGTCTTTTATGGTCATGCAGTGTCACTTTTGCCAAAATGTACTGGTTCAAGCAAAGTGCTAGGTTCCACTCTTTGATGGGAGCACTGTCAAGGAATTCGAGAACATGTCTTAAAACCACCACCACAGTGATGCCATGTTATTCATCTTTTTTCATTTATTATACTCTGTTCTGTAACCTTGGTAGTAGTGGTGAGAGCTCAATCTAGAAAGTCATGTTTTTGAGTTTGGGGAAATTTTATTGATTTGAAATTGGCCTAGCCTCTGTTTTTAATGTTTTTTTCTTATGGTATGCCTGCCAAATTTTGGACCTCCTAATCTATCCCCTAATTTTCATATCTCTTCTCTCTTATTTTCAAGCTCTCTTTTCTTTCCAGTTTCAGGGAAATGTGTTCAACTTCATCTTCCAAGCCTTCCATCATATTTTAAAATTTCTTCTAACCTATTTTTTTCATTTCTAAGAGCTCATTTTCATCCTCTGTTCTGATTTTATGGCAGCCTGTTTTTGTTACACAAATATAACATTTGTCATTTCTCCAAGGATATTTATTCATTTAGGTTTTTATTGTTAAAAAATTCATCCATATGCAAATTTAAAATAATATGAAGACCCCTTCTCCCATGTGCTCATCCGCTAAAAGGTACGCCAGAGCAAAAATGTCATGCTGAAATCAAGGGGTTCAGTAAAAATCTGCATTCTGAAGTTGAGATCTCGGCCCTTTCTTCCATGCTCAGGTGTCGGAAGCCTAGTAGACGGGTTAGCCCTGTAGGTTTCCTAGGGCTTCCATAAGAAAGTACCACAAGTCGGGTGGTTTAAAACAACAGAAATGTATTCTCTCCCTGTTCTGGAAGGTAGGTGCCCTAAATCAAGGTGTACTTCTGGAGGGCTCAGAAGGAGAGTCTGTTCCATGCCTCATCCTAGCTTCTGGCACTTCTAGAAATCCTTGCAGCTCCTTGGCTTGTGGACGTGCCCCTCCGATGTCTGCCTCCATCAATAAAAGGCGTCCTCCCTGTGGGTCTTCTATCTCCGCTGTTTCCCTTCTCAGAGGACTAGACACCAGTCACCAGACACCCCCTAATCCAGTATGGCCTCATTGTGACTAATTATGAAGACTCTATCTCCAAATAAGGTCACGTTCTGGGACTTTGGGGGTCAGGACTTCAATGTGTCTTTTGGGAGCACAATTCAACCCATAACACTCCCCGCTGTAGGAGATTGGGTGGTTTGCTTCACTGAACTGAACTCTTCCAAGCCCCTGGTTTTTCCCAAGGAGCACTGGAGCCCTGCCTTTCACATCACCCTTTTTTAGAATCTAAATCTCCTGGCAAACGTATTCCATGCTACGCTTTTCTATGACTACGCTTGCACATGTTAATGCATTTCACCTGCAAGTACTCCTTTGGGGAAAAAAAACAAAAAATTAAAGCATCTCCTAGCATGCCACCCTTAACCCACACGTGTCTTTAAAATCTGCCAATCAGCTTTAAGTCTATTTTACAGGGATTTAGAAATGAGGGAACTTTCTAGTTTGTCTTTAAAGCCCAAGCTGAAACTTGAAAGAAAACCTCGAGCATAAGGAAGAACTTCCAATTACTTAACAAATCACGTTTTTGTTAAGTACCCCTCATTTTCTCACACAGATACATGAACACACACGTCTTTTCATGGATTTCTTCATGGTCTTTGCTGCTCTAAGCCAAGAATTGCCCGTGTCAGGAGTTGCACATGTGGACGTGAGTATGTGTCAGTGGTGGCCTCACCCAGAAATCACATCTCTTTCCCTAATTAAAATGCAAGTACATCATGTGGGTAGAGTTCTGAGTAAACAGCCTTTCAAACACAAGCCAGATTTCTACTGTTGTTTTGTTAGTGAGCCCTGTGTCTGTTGGGAAGTACTTGGTGGCTCGAGGGCTTGACTATATTTCTCCTGCAGATGTCACACCTTGTCACCAGCCACCCCCGCTTCGGTAAGAACACCCAGCGGGCATTTGTTCCCTTTCAGTAAATGCCACTCTCCAAAGAACCTTCCTACAGGATCAAACATGTTTTGCACAAAGTCCATTCCTGCCTCAATGAAGGTGCATAAAGGCCATTCTTCTCAGAGGTCAGTGAATGATCTAAAGTGTAGAGGATGCAAAGTTTTATGTTTTTCCCCATTGGCTGCATTTTAGCAAAGTGAAGATTCCTGTTGCTGAATCATTAGTAGCTGACGGTGTGCGTTATTGAGTGAAAAGAAGAAAAAGGGAGAACTAATATGTGTTTTGATCGACAGACACAGGAGCCTTTCCATACAATGGAGTAAAAGAGCCCAGAAAGAGATGTAATTTTCTGTATTTCTTCCGTCTTTGCCTGAGGCAGCACAGCCCTCGTCTTTGAACAAGGTCAGGTGCATTGTGCCTGCCCAGGGTTTGAAGAGCATTGAAAGATTCCTGGAGGGGGTGTATCCCCAGTAACAAATGGCTCTGTGGGGGAGGAGAAGGGACCCCACACAGGCTGCCCCTTTATCTCCCCAAAGTAGGGGCCCTGCAGGCTCTGAACTAGGCGGGGTGAGTTAACACCTGCTCTGAGAAAGAAAGTAATGTACTCACTCTCTGGTCACAGGTAGCTGAATTCCTGATGCGCAGGGCTGGAGGCCCTTTTCTCTCTCCATCTCACTGTGAAGTGGGTAGTAGAGAACTATGCAGTGTTTTCCAAGTTGAAAGGTCAGTAGAAACTAACTCTCAAAGCAAAAAAAAATAAAAGAGAGAGAGAAAGAAAGAAAGAAAAAGAAAAAAACTTGAAAACGTCAAATGTGTACATATTTGTTTATTGAATATAACTGTCCATTTTTGTATTTCAACATTATATTTGGATAGATAAGTATTTTTGTTAAGTGTCAGTGCACTCAGCGGAGGAATTAAGGAAATTTGAGACAGGTGGAGTAAATCAATCTGGTAATTGATATTTATTGAGGTTTTCTGTGTGTGGCTATCAGTGAATGTGTCATTTGGGGAAGATTTTATGACAAGTCATGGTCTTTGCTTTTAGGCAATTAGCAGATTATCCTGGAGAACAAAACACGCACACACATAGCATCAATAAGTATATTGTATAACACAACACCGCTCATATAACACATCACAAGTACTAATAGGAGACTTCAATGCTCAAGCACCGTCAAATGGAGGAGTAAATGGGAGTCATTCGTGGTAGGGGATGTGGATCCTTCTCCAGAGACTTGGAGTTGGAAGAAATGTCATTTCTTTACCATTTTCAAATGAATTAATTCAGACTTATCAAAAAGCAGTGAGTTTACCTTTCTATTCTGAACACACAGCAATGACAGATGAAAAGGCAGGAAGAGAGAGAGAGAAATGAAGGGAAGATGGAAGGAAGGAGGAAAACCAAGATCTAACCAGGCTCAGATACAAGATAAGATCTCTGTGGACCAGACACAAAAGGAAAACACAAACTGTGGGTTGTCTGGGCTCTGGAGGTAGACACCAGCGACTAGGAGCTTGGTCCCTGTGAGACAAGGAGTTCTAAATGTGAATGAGACTTGGAGTAGAGCCAGGCTTCCTGTTTGATGCCAGAGGCAGACAGGGCTCTCCACTCGACTGGGACTATAGCTTCAGATGAAGCTGTGAGCCCGGGGAGACAAAGGGCAAAGACAATGTGTTAACTCCCAGGATCTGAGCCAACTGCCCACACTCTGTAAATGGGCCTGCCATACCCCTCAGTGGCCCCTAGGGGCAGTACATCCCAATTGCAGAACCTGCCTCTGGTTTAGAAGTGGGAGGGCTGGGCCAGGGAGAGCCAACCGCCAAGCTGCCACGGAGGGAAAAGTTTGGAGGGGACACTCACTCAAAAGAAACTAAAATTATTTCAAAACACAGTAAGATGGACTAATTTCTCTCGAAGGACAGCCAAGAAACAAAAGACTTGGAAAAATAGTTGACTCCAAATGAAATTCATCTTAGAAAATCACCTGAAAAGATAACGGCATTAATGTGCTGATGTTGTTCAGAGAGATAAATAAAGGAGTTGATGACTAAAGAAATAAATTATGGAGCAGAAATAAGCACAGATAAAAGGAAAATGAAACAAATTAAATCATACCTAAGTTCCCACATTGTTAGAAGGGCTGGGAACCGACTTTGGTCATAATCAGCCTCCTTCACTACCAGGGAGGCTGAGGCTTCTGCAAACGTTGTTAGACGAATGGAACATGTCTATCGTTAGTTCACCCTGTTTATGGCTGATATCCTCGTTGTCCAGGCCCTTATGTCGCCCAGGATGACCGGGCTCCTTGAGGGGAGGGGGAAGGGTTCACACTGAAGCTGAGAGCCTTCCAGTCTAGCGCCGAGCCTTCCCAGCTTGCGTCCCTTCAGATGTCACGCCACGGAACAGAACGCCATCGAGGAGGAGGACACTGGTCCTGCCACTCCAGACATTCCTCTCACTTCTGTGTTTAAAACACACAGGTTCTCAGGCCCAACCCAGAAATGTTGATTCTGTAGATCTGAGTCAGGGCTTGGAAATCAGTGTTTCTAACAAGCTCTCTTGTGATTCCTTTGCAGCAGACCAGGCATTTGGTGAGCACTGGTATTGTTTACAGTCCTTATTTTTCAAGTGATGAAATCAGGCAGGACCAGAGAGGACAATGCCTGCCCAGGTCACACATCTGATTATTGCCTGAATAAAGCCCCAATCCTTTCTTCCGCTTATTTTCTGTTTCATTCCCTCCTCCTTTTCTAGTTTCTTAGGTGGACGCTGAAGTCATCGATCTGAGACCTTCTATTCTAAGGGTTTAGTGCTATAAATTTCCCCCTAAGTACTGCTTTAGTGGAATCCCACAAATTCTGATACGTTGTGTTTTCATTTTCATTCAATTCAAAATACTTTCTAATGTCCCTTTGAATTCTTCTTTGACCCATGGGTAATGAAGAAGCATGTTATTTATTTTCCGAGTATTTGGAGATTGTCCAGATAGCACTGTGGTTTGCTTTCTATTTTAATTCCTTTGTGGTCAGAGAATACACTCTGTATGACTTGAATCCTTTATAATTTATTGAGATTTGTGTCATGAACCAGAATTCCATCTCTTCTGGCAAATGTTCTGTGTGCCTTTGAGAAGAATGTGTATTCTGCTGTAGATGGGTGGAATGTTTTGTAAACGTCAGTCAGGTCAAAGGGTTGGGGCTGATGTTCAAGTTTTCTGGCTGATTTTCTGCCTAGTTGATCCATCAGTTATTGAGAGAAGGGTAGTGAAGTCTACAACCATAACTGGTTTGTCTAATTTTCCTTGTAGTTCTATCAGTTTTGGCTTCTAGGTACTTCAAACCTTTGTTGTTAGGTGTATAAACATTTAGAGTTGATATATTCTCTTGTTGAATTGACCCTTTTGTCATAATGAAATGGACTTTTAAAAAATCCCTGGTAATATTCTTTGTTGTGGTATCTACTTTGTCTAGTATTAACATAGCCGGTCCAGCTTGCTTTTGATTGGTATTAACAGAGCATATCTTTTCCCACTTTTTTTCTTTTAACCTATTTGTGTCTTTATATTTAAAGTGGTTTTCCTACAAACAGCATGTAGTTGGGTCTTGTTTCTTTTATTCAATCTGATTATCTCTACCTTTCAATTGGAACGTTTTATTTTTATTTGACTTTTGATATGATTAGGTTTAAAATCTACAGACTTGCTATTTGTTTTCTATTTGTCCCTTTTCCTCTTTTTCTGTCTTCTGTCAGATTATTTTTTATGATCCCATTTTATCTCCCTTGTTCCTTTATTTAGATATATCCCTTTGTTTTGTTATTTGAAGATTTCTTTGGGGTTTATAGTACACATCTTTAATTTGTCAAAGTCTGTCTTCAATTGATATAATACTATTTTATATACAGGAACTTTACAAAAGCAGCTTTATTTTTCCCCCTCCCAAGTTCTGTGCCATTGTTTTCATACATTGTACTTCTCCCTGTAAAAAAAAAAGCCCCACATTATTATTATTTTTGTTTGGTCAATTATTTATTAACATATATAAATAATAATAATAACTATTGTATACTTACCCATTTAGTTACCATTTTTGATGCTCTTCATTCCTTTGTGTAGATCCATATTTCTATCTCATATCATTTTCCTTCTGTTTAAAAGACTTCCTATAATTTTTTTTTTTGTACTGTGGCTCTACTGGTGAAGAATTCTTTCCACCTTTGTATGTCTGAAAGAAAAAGGCTTTATTTTTGAAAGGTATTTTTGTTGTGTGTAGAAGTCCAGGTAGACAATTTTTCTTTTAGTACTTTAAGGATATTTCTCCACTATCTTCTCCCTTGAATTTTTCCTCTGAGAAATTCGTTGTCATCTTTACCCTTGTTCCTCTGTCTGTCCTCTTCAGTCCCTGGCTGTTTCTAGGATTTTTATCTTTATCACTGCTTTTGACCATCTTGATTGCTATGTGTCTTAGAGTAGCTCTAGTTCTGTTTCTGTTTCTTGTGCTTTTGATTCTTTGAGCTCCTTGCATTTGTGGCTTTATAGTTTTCACAAAATTTAGAAAAATTTCATCCATTATCCCCTCAGTTTTGGTTTTTTTTTTTTTTTTTTGGTCTCCTCTTCTGCCACTTTGGGGACTACAATTATACACTTTCTAGACTGTTGAGTGTTCCCACAGCCCACGGAAGCTCTGTTCATTACTTTAATCCTTTTTTTCTGTCTATTTTTAATTCAGGACAGTTTCTACCTCTTTGTCTTCAGGCCCATTAGCCTTTTCTTCTGTAATGTCCAATATGACAGTAGTCCTATCTAGTATATGTTTTCCCCCTCAGACATTGTAGTTTCCATCTCTAGGAGTTCAATCTGCATCCTTTTCATATGTTTTTCTTCTCTACGAACAATCTGTAGCCTTTTCTCCACCATTTTGAGCATATGGAATATGGTTATAATAACTGATTTAATATCCTTGTCTACAAATTCTGTAATCTGTGTCAGTTCTGGATTGGTTTTGATTCATTGATTTTTTTTTTTCTCTACATGATGCTTCTCTGCATTCCTGGTCATTTTTGACTGGGTACCATACATTGGAATTTTACTTTGTTTGGTGCTGGATATTTTAATTCCTTTTTTAACAAATATTCTTGAACTTTGTTCTGTGATGCAATTAAGTTCCCCGGAAACAGTTTGATCCTCTCAGGTTTTCCTTTTAAGCTTTGTTAGGTGGGACCAGAGCAGAGGCTAGGCTAGGGCTAGCTTTCCCCACTGCTGAGGCAATACCCTGCAGAATACCTGACGCTCCTTGCACGACCTTGCATGACGAGGTCTAAGTGATGAGACCAGGCTCCCTTTCCTGCCCTTGATGAGCCTTGCTGATTGCTCCCACTAATACTTCCGGATGGTTCTCTCCCCAGCCTTGAGCAGTTTCCTCACCTGCATGCACTGATCAGTACTCAGCTGAGTACTGGAGGGAAACCTTCTGATCTAGAGTTTTCTCTCCGTGCAGCTGTTCCCTCTCCAGTACTCTGGCCTCCCCTGACTCCCAGCTCCATTTCCTCAACTCAGGGGAACTACCAGACTCTGCTGGGGTTCCCCTTCCTTCTACTGCAACTGGAAACAAATGAAGTGGACCCTACAATTGTTGCTTGGAGAGAACTGGAAACTCTTTCCAGGCAATAAGCTAAGGGCAATGGTAGGGATCACCTCATTTGCTTCCTCTCTCTCAAGTATCAGTGCCTTCATTGCCAATGTCGAGCATCTTGAAAGTTCTTGCTTTGACTCTTCTGTTTGTTTCCATAGTTGTATCAGGTAGGACGGTAATTCTGCTTGCTGCTACTCCATCTTGACCAGAAGCAGATGCCTCCTCAAACATTTGTTTAAAGTGAAGAATGGAGTTTATACAAATGAAAGTGTTGCAAAATTGTTGGCCTGATATCACAGGAATGAGGCAAAAATCATGAAAGGGCTTTGTAAATGACCAAAGTTTAGAAAACACCTGTTCACTCCAAATCACTCACTACACAGGAAAGTAGCTGAGGTCTCCATGGGCCAAGAGATACAGTGAGGCTCCCACATTCCTTAGTGAGAGAAGTAAAACCAAATTCTTTTTTTCCCTCTCACTGTGTGTCCAGTATTCTTGCCAATACTTCCCTGTTTCAGGCTACCCCAAACCTGCTCATTATAAAGGAGAAATTTCATTTTCTTATAAAATACACCTGATCAAATTATAATGCTTTTTTGCATTTGGAAGCCATGGAAAACAGCCCCTGGTCTGATTTATTTGTATTATTATCAAATCTTTTTTTCAACCTCCTTATAGACATTTTAGGAACCAAATTGCTCACATCCCTTCCACTGAAATGATATACATTTGCAGTTCATCTGGAAAGGAAAGGGTTGCTGTGTCACATTAGGTGATAGAATCTGACACTGGCTTAAGGCCATCTCCCCTTGTAAACTGCTGTTTTTATGAGGAGCAGGACAAGTCAGCTGCCACAGAAAGTGTGCATCTGACCCCTAGCCCTCCGTCTGGGCAAGTCCTTTCATCTATTAGGCATCATGAGTATGATTGCCTGGGGCCTTCAAAATTTCCAGGGACCTGTGGAAATATTTGCAATGTGGGAAAAAAATTGATCGGTTCCAAGTATTAAAAAGAAAATCACACAATTAAAACTGCGATGTTTTTATTTTTTAAAATGCAGCATGGGAACCTGTGGCTGCAACTCAACTCTTATGATTTCTATATGCATTTGATTCAATATATTATCAGTTCATTTTACTCTGCTTGACATGATGTGAGTGGGAAATCCACTAAGGTCTTTAAAATGCCTCATATTCTCTTACTGAAATTCCAGAGAAGTATCCAGTGTTGCTGGTCACCTTTGCTCGGAAATAGTGATGAATTCCACTACATCCAAGTTTAGTTACGGTTTTTCTTTTTTCCATTTTACCAAATGGGAGCATGGCTTTGGTGATTCCAAATTGGTTTGCATTTTTCTTCATTAAATTTGCTTTGCCTGTAAAGCCAGTTCTCAAACAAGATCAGAGAATTCCAGATCCCACAGGAATCTATATATGTATATTTTTTTCAGTGATCTTCTGTTGAAGACTTGTAACAGGTCTTAATTACTCCGTGGCTTCTGTAACGCAGTAGCATTTATATTTCTTAATTTTTCTAAATTAAATTAAATTTGCTGCCAACACTCCTTTACCAAGGTTGATGAGAAGTTCGGTTACCAGGGCTTCAGCACCACTCTTGGCTCTTACAGGCACCCCAGGCTGACGTCATCCAGACAAATGGAGGATAACCCAATTGGGGTGGAGTTTTTTCCTTATTTCACAGGCGTTTAAGGACATCAAAACAGCCAGTACTGTTGACAGTCCCTCAAACAATCCTTCACCCCCTCACCAAGCTCAGCCAAGGGCCACCCCATGTCTAAGCTGCTTGGTTCTTAGTTGCAAGGGCACAGAGTCATTCCCATCTGAGGCTGTGCCATCCTTGGAATACCGCATTGCAGCTCCCTGATGCCTCTGCCCAGCTTCAAGAAAATCAACCATAACCTCGGGTTAGCCTTCTTCCTTCTTCCACCCACAAAGCACCAAGTCCCCATCTAATTCTCTTTCAGGCAGTGTAGCCCATTCCCTTGATGGAACTGGGACAGTGTTTCTCACAGTGTGATCCCTGGTAGCTCATCAGGTAATCTGCTTGTGCTTTACCAGTTTCAGATTGAAAAATAGCATCCAAGCGATGTTATTCCCATCCACTTCACAAACTGGAAATGTAAGATTCAGTAAGACTTTTACAGAAATCCCTTCATCAGATCCTTTATAATAAACCCAAGATTTCCAATGAAGCCCCTGATGGAACAGATGCCAAAGGGAATGAGATGAGACACAGTCTAAGAAAAGACTAGTGTACGAGTTGGTGGTCTTGTTGGTAGCGTTGGGCATTAACTAATGGGAACTCTTCCAAAGGGCTGCCAAGGGCTCCTGTAAATTTGTTACTTATAGTAGTCTTTGTTTTCTTCAGCTCCCCAACGAATAGAGAGCAGAACAGCTGAGGAAGCATCCTTATTACTCAAAAGGAAATGTTGACACACCTTGGGGCTTTGAGCTTTGAGCTGTGAGATGAACGGACCAGCTTTAGGCCGATTAAAGGAGTAACATGGTGGATGGTAAGTGAAATGTAATGAAATCTACTCTTTTCAAAAGCCTCTCTGGCACTTGTTCTCATGAACATTGTTAGATATTTTAGGAAAAGCTAAGGAAACATTTTTAAGAGAGAAGAATGAGTTTAGTCAGTGGGATAAAAGCTATCTGGTAAAAGCTTCAATTTGCACCCTTTTCCCATGGTAGACCTCCCCAGGACACTCAAATTCAGCCTAATATGCCACAGAAGTATTGGTATGTTCCTTTTATTCCAGACATTAAGGTAACAGGATCTGAGATCAAAACCATAAACTACTCACATAGCAAAACAACGCAACCAAGAACAGGGTTTTTTAAGTGCTTTCTAAGAGCTCTCCTCAGTTCCCTGACAAAGCTGCATGATCCTCTTCAGCAACTGCCCGCCTTTTAAATTGGTCCTGTGCAATTAACACCTCATCCCACCCAACTCTGTTCTCTACACTGGACTCTTCAGCACTTTATATTGTCAGTATGAAATACTGCTAATTATCACATTGTCTTCTCACCAATTGCTGTTTGAGATTATTTTGTTTCCCTAACTAAATTTTAAACATCTTGTGAACAAAAAGTATTGAATCTCTTTGGCATACCAGAATAATAAAAACAAGCCTAAGTACCTAACAGCCATTCAATTAGACAATTAGTAATTACTGGACTCTTGTGTTTAAACTACACATCAAAAATTTTTAAAAACTGGGTCATTTTTTAGGTTCCCTGCCCCCAAATTTGATAAAGCCTCAGATGTACTGCAAAATAGATTATTTGTTATGAAATCTTTTTTTTTCCTTTTCTTTTAAAAGTCTCTTTTAGAAAACACTGGTCAGGAAAGTACAATGTTCCCAGAGAGACGGTGACATCACAGGAGAGCAAACTAAAAACGGACTTTTGCATAGAAATGGAATTGTTTTAGTTCTAATTTGAGTTCTGAAATTGGATTTATTTGATTAAGAAGAATAGAAGCATTTCTCAGGCTGTGTGAAGAGTTAAATTTGGGGCAGGTGGAAGACCAACCACACAATGAACAAGACCCAGGTCAAAGGTCTTCCTGAAAGAGAGACTTCCTCTCTCTGCCGATGAAACCCTTAGTGTCTGCCGCTGCCTTCAAAGCACAGGAAAGTGCACAGCCCTGCACAGGCCCTGGTCCCATCAGCTCTGTGACTGGAGACGAGCTCACTGAATTGCAGGCAAATGACCTCAGTCGCTGACTGAATCTGTCGGGCTCACTTTTCGGTGTCTTAGCATCCTTTGGTAAATAACCAGAGCTTCCTTCCTCCCCTTCCCATCTGGTTTGCATCACTGACAAATTCCACTTTTCCTCTCTTGAAAAAGACATTCTTCTTCAGCCCTGCGCATGTGGAAGGACACATTCCACTCCAAGAAGAGCTGGAATGCAGCCTTCATCATAAAACAATGGTAAGTGGTTGAGATAAAGCACCCAATAAAGCAGCGGGAAGGAAAAACAGGCAGAAAGAATGTGTGCCTTCGCTTGGAGCATACTGTCCATCCATCAGCTACAAAGGAATTCTGGAACAGGGCTTAAAGTTCTCATTAAAATGCAATAGGGCATCAGGAAGTCAGATTTGGACCAACACCAATGAGATATTTTTCTTACAGTTCCTTTCTTCTGAACAGCCTTGCTGTGGGCTTTAAAGTTCTCTCTCTGACCAAATTTAGTGAAGTTGCTTTTTCCTCCTCTCTTTGATTGAGCCCAGAGCTTTGGGAAGGGCAGCGAAGTAAGCTGAAATGAAATTGCCAAACTTATGGTTCTCAAGTAAATGAGATTTTCTCTAATGCTTACCAACTGTCACCAGGTCAGATGGATTTTTCTGCTTGAAGTCCCTTGATGCATTAATTTCTCTGCCGTCTCACGGTAGCCTTCTGAAAGCAACCCGGGCAGCTGTAAAAACATAAAAAGAAAATGCGTAGCATAACTGGTGCACAGAAGGACAGTAAGAGATGAAAAGTGAGGCGAGGGCAGGGAGAAAGGTCTTCAGACAAGCATGTCGTTTGCTTGGTTTTTGACTCGGAGGGCAACCCACACAGTGGTCTACTCAGACCCACTGGGAAATGGCACCGGGTGCTGGGTCCGGGTCAGCTGAACGAGAAATCCTAAAAGGCAGCCGCCACATATTCTCTTTTCTTGATTCATCTAGAGCGGAGACTTTTTAAAAGAAACCTTTGAAGCAGTGAAACCACAATAGATAAAACAGCTGAGAGCGGGGCGGCGCTGGCTGAGGCGCGGTCCCACGAGCAGCCAAACAAGGCGTAGGGTGGCAGGCTCGGAAGTCACCATTCTAAAAGGTCTTAGTAGTCCGGGCGGCGGCGGCGCAGGATTTCATTGCTTTGAATACAGAGGGCTGACATCTAAGTTGGAGGGCTAGCGGGCATTCTCTCCCATGCTGTCCTGTACAGTTTCTTACTCATTCTGGTTTCTTGGGCTAAAAATTAGTATCACTTTTAACAGATACCGCAAGTCTTATCACCTACCGTCTAACTGCCCTCACCTTCCTTACTTCAAAACACATTTCAGCACATATTTACTGGATGCCTCTAGTGTCCAAGGCACAAGGCACTCCGGTTATTAAAAACATAAGTAAGTACGGTAGGAGCCGCAGCAGCAGTGGTGGTGATGACAACAGCAACACCCACATAGCCTTTCTTAAGGGCCAGGCCCTGCTCTGAGCTCTTCACATGTACTGAGTCATTCGGTCATCTGAACAACACCCTAGGAAAGATATGATTATTACTTCCAATTTGCAGGTGGGGAAACTGAGGCATAGAGCGATTAAATAATTTAGCCAAAGTCACATATGTAACCAGTGGCAGAGCTGAGATCTGCAGCAGTCTGGCTCCTGAATCCGCGCCTTTAGGATACTTGCTTTCTGCGCAGTCTCTGGGGGTTATTGTCTCTGCTGCAACAAGGAAGTTTCTGCTCCTAGAGCTTTCAAAGCCCATCTCCTCTCTGGAACCTAGTAAAGGATTGTGGGCAATGGATACCTGAGAAGGGCTAATGACGTTTGGGGGCCCCTGGAAGCACTCAGGGGTTCTCTAGTACAAGGAGAGAGGATCGCGGGAGGAGATCAGACATCTGGCCAGTGAGGCCGGCAGGGGCTTTGGAGCATCGAGAGTCCAGCTATGACTACATGTGACACGTGTACTAACCATCACTGTGTGAAGCCTGGGGCTTACAAATTACACACATGATGTTTGAATTTTAGTCCAAATGAATATGTGGTCCCTGTATTTTGGAAAGGGGTGATGGCAGTTACATTTCAGTAGAGATCTCTGGGGCCTCTGTAATTCATGCTCTTCTCCCTTTCTTCAGGTGGCAGACATTTATTGAACATTGATTGTGTGAAGAATGTCACCTGCCTTTTCAGTAAACAAAGGATGTTGTGGCCCTAAATCCATCAGCCACTGCAGTTGCCCCTGAAGGTGCACCCCGAGGGGAGTTCAGGATGGAGAAAAACAGGGTAGTGGCCCCAGACAGTTAAGATGCATATCAAAGTAATGATTTCAATGAGCCCAGACTCTTGCATCCTCCAATTCACAGAAAAGCACTAAAATCATTAGCTGGAGATGTCTTTTTTGTGTGTGATTAGCAGTAATTTTTCTTATTTCTATTTTTTCAGCAAAAACTCATATATATTCTGACTCCTCTCTGACACCTTTGGAACAGCCCCTCAGAACTACCTGAAAGGTTGTATCCTGGGCTAAAGTCCCCAGTAAGTTTGTTGAATAATTCTCAACATTTAGGTTGTGCTTTTTTTTCTTTCTTCGGTAGACAATTGTATGTCAGACAGTAGGGCAGGGGTTGAGAACACAAAAATACATACACAAACATAGTAGTCTTTGCCCTCAACAATCTCACAGTTTAGTGGGGAATTGACCTATTAAATCGTGAACGCGCTGATAAGTGATGTGTCACAGGAGAGGTATGGCTATGTGTAGGTCGATACAGAGGAAGAGCTTGGAGGAAGTTAAAGAAGGCAGCTTAGTGGACGTGCTGCACAGGTCTTCATAGGTGACTGTGAGGTTGCTCAGATGGCAAGTGGGGGGAAGCACACGGGATCCATAGGGGCAGGTGGAGAGCGTCCAACACAGCCGCCAGGGTTCTGCTCTCCACTTGCAGCCTGGACCTTTGATTTCACTGTGTCCTCCCTTGTTATCTGTCTTTCAGTTTTGAATTGCCCAGAGGAGGTGCCAGCAGGGACTCAGAGGACAGGAGGGGAGGAGCATTTCCTCCTCCATCTCCTCTCTGCTCAGCCAGGGTTCAGCTCAGCAGGAGCTGTGTTCTCTACCCAAGACTACACAGCTCTCCTGCGTCCAGTGAGAGAAGGGCACGGGTACCAGGAGGGGCAGGTTTGGCAGCTTCCTGCTGTTGCTGGCCTCAGGGTAGTTCTACATTCCCTCACTGCCCAGACCTCTGTAAAGGGTTTCTTGAACCGTCTTCCATCAGTCTTTCGGGTGCACCATCTGTTCCCTTTGGGACCCTGCATGATGCAGCACCCTCAGCTTAGGGGATAGGGTATGCAGAGGAGGTGTGAAATAACACAGCTCATTTCAGGAGCTGCCACTAGTTCAAATGGTCAGAGGCAGAATTCAAGAAGCAGAGACAGGAGCTGTGCTCGCTCGGAAGGCTGGCAGGGGCCAGCTTACAAGCAGCCTCCTGTGCTAGGACAAAAACCCTTATTCCAAAGACTGCTAATACCACTGTGGTGTCTGTGTTTGGCTTTTCTGGTGATTTCCTCAGGATTCCTCAGAATCTCATGTTATTTATGGCCTTGAATTTAAGGCATTGTTCTCCCCCAGAATTATAGAACAAAGCTTGCAAATAACCTGGATGAGAGGTAAAAGAACTCCCTCTATGTTCTGCTGAGAAGCCCCTTGAGTTACTCTTAGGTTGAAAACACAGAACTTAGCTGAAGAAGTAGCTTTCCCCTCTCAGTGTGGAAAGCCCTGAAACAAATTGTCTACTGGTAAATAACCTAGGATTGACTGCTCCTCTAGGGTAAAATATAGTTGTCCTTCTTCACTTTATCTTTCCGCTAAACAACCACTGAATTTCCTGGGGAACGTGAGCCAGTTAGGAGTTATGGTAAACCCTGAGAATAGCATGTCTCAGTATATTCCATATTCCTGCTCAAACTCAGACGTCCATCCCGTCTGAGACTAGAAAGGGACCCAAGGGGAAGAGAAAACAGTTCTTTATTACCGAGCACAGTACGCTGAACATCATAGGATATTGCTGTGGGACTGATTGCTCTGAAACAGAGATACTTCGATACACTCTATAGCCAGCCCTGGATGAGACAAATATTATAGGTGGGCTGAGCCAACACCCATCCCCAACCCCTTTATGCTTTGTCATCCTCTATCATGGAGAGGAGGAAGGTTAAATATTCATTTTACCCACTTCCCTTGCATAACGGATATGTGTTGAGATTCTGGCCAATGCAAGGTAAGTGGCAGTCTGCTGGGGGGTTTCTGGGAAAGATTTTGCATTTCTCAGAAAAAGGCACAATTGCAACTGGCATCATCTCCTCCTCCTTTCTTGACTTGAATGTGGAAGGGCTGTCTAGAGCAGCAGCAGCCATCTTGTAAGCAGGAGGAAATAACTATGAGGGCAAAAACATACAGAGATTGGATCCAAAATGGCACTGCTGAGCAGTTAAAAAGAACAACAATGTTCCCACCTCTAGATTTCTGGTTACGTTAAATGCTGTTTAGGCTACTATTTGTTGAGTAATCCGTTCCTTTTTCCCTTGAATATTCTTTATTGTTTGTTGTTGTTTCTTTTTTTAAAATATATTTTTATTGAAGTATAGTCAGTTTACAATGTTGTGTCAATTTCTGGTGCACAGCACAATACTTCAGTCATATAGGAACATGCGTATATTTGTTTTCATATTCTTTTTAACTGTAAATTGCTACAAGATATTGAATATAGTTCCTTGTGCTATACAGTATACATCTGTTATCTATTCTATAATTAGTTTTTACAACTAAACACATTCTTAGCTAATATAGAAAACCCATAGCTATTCCGTACTTCTCATTTCTCAGTTAGGTCAGTGCTTTTTAAGACACTAGTACGGGCCAGCATTTTTTTCCAGAATGACTTTGACACGTCTCCTCACAGAAGTTATTGTTGCCATCCCAACTGACACACATTTGGCAGGAACAGTAAGTCCACTTCCATTCTTGTCCAGCTTGGATTCCATGATCATCATTACAATCAGTTCTGAAATCTAACCCCTACTCCCACCCTCATACTCAATTGGCAAAACCCCCACAACAGAGAAATCCAACCATCCCTCTTCTCATCGTGGGCAGCCAAGCTGCTGAAGGTTGTAGACTGGCTTCACATTAGATTCATCCTTGCAAACCCCAAATGGGCCCTCGACTCTGCTCCCAAATATCACATTTTTTTTTTCAGGCTTACTTTTCCCTTCTCAGAGCAGGCTTTTATGCCCTCTTTTCTCTTTGCAAATTTCCTATTCAGCTTTCTCCTCCCTCACTCTCATCATTTCCTCAGAAACTGTAACTATCAGGTCGCCTTCACTCCCTGCCTCTGCAGCCATCTGTCTCCTCTGGCCTGCCTCCTGCTAGAACTGCAGAGAGAGCATTTTTTCAGTTCAAAGTATATCCCTTTTTGCTCCACCCTGCTCTTTGAACCAGGAGCATCAGCATCACCTGGGAAACTGTTAGAAATTCAGAATCTTCACACCACTCTGAGACCTGCTGAATTAGAATCTGCCGTGTAACAAGCTCCCCAAGGGTTTTGCACAGCCACCTATGTAACAGAGCGGGACCCAGTGGGGCCTTCCCAAGACAGACCCCCTCCCCGATATCCTCTGCTGTAGTTTCTCTCTGAAGTGCCCAGATACTATCGTCTCAGATGCTAAAACCACCACTAAATGGAAGAAATGAACTAGTTGATAACCATGAACACGTAGCCCCCAGGCCTTCTGGCCACTAAGGATTGATTACCATCAACCAATCTGAGAATTGTGCACAGCTGATCACACACCCTCAGATGCCCCTCCCTGAGCTAGTCCTTAAAAACGCTCAGCTGAAACCCTTCAGGGAGGTCAAAGGTTATTCTGGGCATGCGCCACTCACTCTCCTTGCTCGGCCCAGCAGCAAACCTCTCTCTGCTTTACCGCCAACGTTTCAGTACCGTTTGGTATCACTCCGCGTCAGGCACGCAGACTTGCATTTGGTAACAATTCTGGGGAAGCTAGTCTAAGAGTCTATGCCCTGGCAGGTCAGGAATTACCCTGTTGGGGCAGCCCCTTCCCTGGGTCCCCAGCAGCTGCCGGAGCCCACTTCACTCCGGGGAACTGGGGGAACTCTCCCTGAAAGGCGCTGGCCGCCCTGGCAGGAGGACACTCGGAGCTGAGAAACGTTGGGAACTACGGACCCCACTCGGCGTTGCCTGCGGGTGAGTCGCACCAGCTTGCAAAGGCTGGGAAGTTTTTCCACTCCATTTGGGCTGGTTACAAGCCTTTCTGGGTTTGTTCTCTTTTGAGAACTGGTGCAGTCTGTTTGGGAGCCTCTGTCTGGGAGTGGAAGTGGAATTTTTAGACGACACCTCCTCTGTCTGTGCAACTGTAGCGTATTTGTTGTTTGTGTTTTTGTGTGTGTGGTTTTGGGGTGAGCCACTGTGGCTTGGGCAGGATGGGAAGATTCTGCCAGCTCCACCTGGGCTCATTCCCTTCCTTCCAGGAAGTAAGCCATTCCGGGCTCATTGGGAGCCACTCCGGGTCCATTCTCTCTCAGGAGATCACCTGTTTGTGGGACCATGTTTGTTGTTGGTATGCGTGTGTATAGCAGCACTTGCGTTGGCCCGTTGAGACAGTCTTTGGTGAGAAACGCGGCTCGCTCATGGTAACTCCAAGGGTATCCTTCCCTGTTGCACTGGCTTCACCTGCAGCTGAGTTTACGGTGGGATTGTCCCTTTTTAGCTTTCACTCGGCTTCATCTCTGACGGGGTGCTGGCTGGGAGTCTCCCTTTTGGGGCAAGGGAGGCTGTTTTGAACTGTTGTTTGCTTGTATAACATCAGCTGTGAGTAATTATGGATGATCAAAGCTCGGATCCATCTTATTTTGCAAAACTGGGAGATCTTCAGCTATGCTCCTGTAAATGAAAGAAAATGGTATTTTTTTTACTGTAACATTGTGTGGGCTCAGGACTCCCTGAGATCTGGAGAACAATGACCCCTGACGGCTTTGCTGTTAAATCAAATTGGGCCTTTTGCAGCTTGGCTTTGATCTTGGCAGTGAATTGTGTGTGTGTCTCAGTCTCAGAGTCCAGATCCTCTTCTGTTCTCCTGGTTTTGCTGAAAGTGAGGCATGTGAATGTAAATGAATCACATATGTATTATTGTCTATTACTGTCATTTCTTTAAATTGAAGTGGGTATTAGGGAACTGGAAAAAAAAAAATCCCTGAAAATAGCCAAGACGTTTGGGTTTTGTAAAAAGCAACTTCAGAATGAATTGACATTTCTCTTCCTGTGCCTTT